TGAGTGAATTTGAGTTGTCAACAAGGCCAGCAGCCATCCTGTGTGTCAGCAAGACTGGAGGATAATCTCAAAAAAAGGGTTGTCGGGGGCGCGGGGGCTAGCACCATGAACTGAACTTTTAGTGGTATTGTTGGAAGAATAGAGCCATCGACCTGCCTTGCCTGTGTCAGCCTTCGCTTAGAAAAGTGATATTGCGGTGGTCGGTAAGGACCACGGTGGGTCTTAGCCGTATGTAAGGGTTCTACTTGGTCACAAAGTACTTGACCACCCACAACTCTCTTTCCAATTACGTGGATCTTGGGTGATCGTTGACCTGACCCAATAACACTCCTACCGCGTACTGATTGGCGTCGGTATTTAATACAAGCTCCGCATCCGGGTCGGCAGCTACCAGGTAGTCAGCATTTACGAGGTCCTCGATTACCTGTCGCATTGCTACTTCGTGGGAGTCACGCCACGTGAAGCTTTGGGTCTTTTGGCTGTTCATGAGCTCCTGCAGGGGCTGCACCTTGTCGGAGTACCCTGGCACGAACCTTCGGTGGAACAAGAGTAAACCTGAAAGCGACTTCAACCTGCTTCTAGTTTTTTGGCGGCGACTCTGCTCAACGCCCCCACCTTTCCAGGCTAGTGCTTGATGCCACACTTCTTGACCAAGCAGGGGAATTTCCTCGCAGAGCCACTCACATTTGGCCAACTTCAAGAAGAAGCCATCACCGATGCAGATTCGGATCACCTCATTCAGGAGTTCAAGGCATTCCTGTGGGCTGTCGGCATAAATGACTGTATCGTCAATGTAGCATTCGACGCCCTGGCCTAGAAGCGCACCAAAAACTTGGTTCATTGCTCTTTGATACTCTCCCGGACCGTTTTTGATGCCGAAGGGCACACCGTTGATTTCGAACAGTCCCCAAGGGGTGCAGAACGCGGTCGGTGTATTGATTACACGCTTCGCTGACGGGAACATTCCAGAACCCCCAGTTACAGTCGAGAGCATTATAGTAAGAACGGCCGGACGCCTTTTGGAGATTATCCCAGAGGAAGGGAGTAGGGAACGCGTCATCAAGCTCCTGCTTATTGACTTACCGATAGTCTATTACGACCGGTAGTCGTCGGTATCTTTGAGATTACGAATGGACGAGACCTCCACGGCGATTTACTCGGGCATATGACGCCTTTCGAAAGCTGGGAGTCTACCGAGCGTCTGAGCTCTTCCTCAGCGGCCCGCGGCAATGGCATCAGCCTCACTTTCGTCGGTCGGTTCTGGACCTGGAAGTTTGCCTCATATCTCACCTGCCCACTCATCGGGTGCAGGGACGCTCTCTTGTTCCTCCCCAATACTTCCCACAGCGCGACGAATTCTGTCTTAGTCAGATGTGGTACACGCTTCCATACTCCACCCCTAGCCTTTCGGAGCAGCTCCTGGTCTGTCAGCGATTCGTCTACGCCTGATACGACATCCCGGGCTATTTCCACCTGGTGCGCTGACGTCGGTAGAGCAAGGACACAGGGACCAACATTAATAAGAGAAAGAAAGGGTTTTAGACGGTATCGGTGATTTCAAGTTATGAAACCCGGGCACGAAGAGTAAAGAGAGAGAGGCGGGCGGGTAATAGTACAGTATGCGCCAGTCGGGCGGTCAGCTGGACTCGTGCTAGTAGCATGGGAATGTAGTCCGAAAGCAGAGCGAGTAGAGCGTAGAGAGAGACGGAGAAGACAATACTCCAGTATGTGATTTTCGCTAAAGCTAGGAGCGCAACGTATCGGCGCCTAACGCACCAGGGGACCAAAATCCCAAGAAGAGCTGACAACAACAGGACGGGAATGTGTTGGTTGATGTTATGTCGTCAGACGTTTGAGGAGTGTGCGGACTTTATTCGATTTCTACCGCTTTTACTCAGCACCACCCGTCCTTGCCGCTCAAATCTCTTTACGGTACATACGTTTTCGATATGGCGTGGTCGGTTGTCGAATCTCCTTCTTCGCAGCTCCGCTTGGGTCACGGCAACCGCTGCCCGCGTCTTGTATCGGGTAAGCGTCAACTATTTGTGCTGTCATGATTGGTGCGGGCTCTGCGTCTCTACGAGCGTTTAGATGCTTGAATATGCCCGTCGTACCTCCCCCTTTTCGCGTCGTACCTGGCGTTGGTAGGGAGGCATCGCAAAACGGCGCGGCACGCCCAGCGCTTGCAGACGGGAAGCCCTCATCCCAGCGTATACGCAACCTCGCTAGCTGCTGCGGTCTATGTCGTGGTATGACGAGAACTGACTGCGCCCAAGGATGTCGGTGGTCACCCCCCCTATGTACAAGCTCGCCGGAAAGATGGCTCGCACGGTCTTGTCGATGACCTGCTCGAAATCTGGCGCTTCTACGCGGAACCTCTAGGAGGCGTTGCGGAAGGGTTTGAGTTTGCAGCACATTGCCAGCACCTGGGACAAGGTTTCTGTCGAAGGTCGCCGTGGCTGAAGGCGGAGTGAGACCTCATAGAGCCGTTCGGCAGCTTCAGAATGGGCTTTTAGGGTCGGTAGGTCGTTTTCGTGTACCGGGGCGCGATCAGCCACCTAGCCTCACAGAACGACCATCTGTCACGTACGAATGCTTTCCACCGCTGCTCGTCTGGGGTGTCAACATTACCCAGGTCGCCCACCAGTGAGTTGTCAATAGGGTCAGTAGCAATCGTGGTGTCTGTGGGTCTGGAGGATAATCTCAAAAAGGGCTGTTGGGGTGCGGGGGCTAGGACCTGACAGCGTGAGCTCAGTGAGTTATGACGGCTCAGGTTTCCTTTTCGCTTAACCCCCGCGACTCCTAAAATCTCGAGGTTATTGTTCGCGCACAGAACGGGCATTTATCCGAATAAAATTTTTCGGAGACAAACCCGGCTTATTGGACCCTCCAATCCACAGCAAAATTTGATAGGAGTTGGCTTACAAAAAGTTGAAAGCTTCCGTGGCGCAATTGGATAGCGCGTAGGACTTCTAATCCTGAGGTTGCGGGTTCGAGTCCCGCCGGAAGTTATTTTGGAATTTGCGAAAGAAATTTAGTTCTCCGTTATCAGTGATGTAGAATAGAATCTCATGCACGAAGTGTGTGAACACACTTTTCGCAGACATTAACAGCGCATCACTAGCTCTTACACTTGACTTATCATGGCGACAGCTACTATTGGACACAGCAAACAAAAACCAGGAGACAAGAAGCACCGCTGCGTAATCTCAGAATCAATCAGCACCGGCGTTAGCCTTTCCCCATTACCCGAACGGAATTAGAAACAGACGAATGGATCTCCGATGCCGTTGAACGGTATAGTGATGCACCAGGAGCGCTTCTCCGCAAAATAGTCAAAGTGTATGGACTGGGAGAAGCCACGGACATCGACGAGGCACGCAGAAGGTGCGTGGTGAAGTGATATCCAAAAAGTGGTGCGCTTTATCTTATTTTGGAGAACGTTAACGCGACCGATCGGTGTGTGATATGTAGCAGCGTTCCGGACACCAGCATGTTGAAAGCTCCATATGTGAAGCGGGCTCATTCCATGATATGTAGCAGCGGTAGTTCGATTATGGAGCTGTCCGTCACAGAAAAGGTCCATAACAGCGTTGACTCGTGTTCTATCACTTCCAGATGGAGTTGCTCCGCTCCGCGACTAGTTCAGTCAATTTGTTGTTTTGTGGGCTATAGTTGAGATAGTCAGCCACTCAACTGCCTTGATGTAGATTCTTCCAACGTTGAACTTTGTGAGAGTACATTCCAAAACAGGAACCCCAAAAAACTGTGAAGCTGAGGGGCAGAGGTGATGTCGGAAGCTGTGCAGTTGTATTGAGCTGGTTTGGGTGGATCTGCATCGATCGATGTCCAAGGAACTCGATTTGTTGAGTCGGCGTCAGTTGAGACTTTTCACCAATTTATTTGAAATTGACAGAGTGTAGAAGATCAAGGACTTGTCAAGTGCGATTGTATAGTCCTCTAGGCCCGTAGGAAGCTGTGAGGTGCTTCGACTCCTCCGCTGAGGGAATTTGACAGAAGGACTTCGTTAGGCCCAGCTCCATGAAGTAGCGACCCCCCGCTGAGGCGGTGAAGTGTATGCTCGATGTTGGGTATGCGGTTCCCTTGTATGACATTCTTCAACGGGATCTAGTTCCCGCAAATGCACACGGGTCTCTCTGGTGTGATGATGATTCTCGGTCTGAACGCCCACGGTGATCTGGAAGACGGCTAACCGTTTCGGCTTCCGGCAGAAGTCTGGTGGGATAGAGATGGTGGTTCTGCCGCGTGCGGTGCCATCCTGTCGTGGTCAGGTTGGTCCCGCAAAGTTCTAACATAGTTATCGAACGAATCGATGTCTTGTGTGGTAACTGTCGTGATGGGATGTAGGGCCTTGCTTCCGTCATTGTATAGGACCTACATCGCTTTTGCATGTATGCCCTGTGGCACAGTCTACATGCACGGTATCTGTTAGGTGACCCACAGCAACCGGGATATCTGATGCGGCGTTAAAGAAGGCTTCTTGACCCTAATGAACGTTTCCGAACACACTCAAGACCCGACCAGCGCTGACGGTTAAAGGGGAAAGGGCTGCGCATAAAGCGGTTGTGGTTCTGTGTTGCATCCGGTACTGGGGGCACGGCTGATTGTTAGGGGTGAGGGGGTGGGAAAAATATTCCAATGAGGTCTGGGGCAAGTGTGTCGCGTCGGTGGACGTCGGTGGCGTTAGTTCTGGCTGTCGCAGATGGAGTGTTAAAGGCTCCTCGTGCAGTTTCCGACGGAGGTTTTGACGGGGGTGTTCAAGTAGCCCCTGCGGCAAGTGTCTCGCGGACACTGCCGCTGGCACCTGTGAGTGGACGGTGTGTGTATTTGCCCATGATTGGTACGTTGACGCGGTTTGCGAAAAGTCATGAGGACCCGGTATGGCACACTTCATTGGAGGCGCATGTAGCGTTGAAAAAATTGTTGGCGGTGGAGCAGCGAGAGGGGTTGACAAAGTTGCAAGCTACTGACTTGGCGGTATGTCGTCTGGACTATTTGGAGTTGGCGGCGATGTTGTGTTTGTTCATTCAAAACCCGTTTGGCGCAGTACAGAGTACGGACCTGGAGGTTCTGGGTATGCAGAAGGACTTCCGGCAGGTGTGGGACACGGGTTGTTTATTACAACGAGCGGAGGCTTCAGTTTCAATACTCCTTGGTTTCTGTCTTCGCCAACTCCGCTACCGTCCTACTGGCGATGCCTGGGTGCTGGACTGTCTCCGCCCCGGTGCCGTCCCATACAGCTCCTACCGCCGACGGATGTGCACCGGACCCGGACTCGCCTTCGACCTTCTCACACCCGTCTTTAAACAATTAAGCAAAAGTCACCTCACTGCCACTGAGTACACCACCTGCCAGACCCGTTCCCTCGCCGAAAGCGCCATCTTCGTTGAACGACGCTGCAAGGCACCCCCCAGCCCCGCCTGCCGCACCGTGGTCGACGCCACCGAAGACCCCAACGATCATCTCAACCGCGACTGGCCGCAAGAACACCCCGACCGCGAACACATACCCGCTCTGCTCGCCGAGAAATGTCGCGTACAACACCTAAGGGGCGAGCAAGCGGTCGGTCAAATGGTCAGTCAAGCCGCCGGTGCGGCGGAAGCGGAGCGAGCAGCGCGTGCGGAGTTGCGGTATATCCCCGAGTCCGGCGGTCTGACCTCCTTCGCGCTCGGCGCGGCGAAGCTGGATGCGCCGTTGGAGTCGCGCGCACGAATGCGCGCGCTGATGTCTGCGGGGGCCCGTAGCAAGTTGGAAAACATGGAGGGTTTGAACTTTTGCCGATGCCGTCTGGACTATTTGGAACTGGCCCGGATCCTGTGTGCATATGTGGCGTACCCATTCGGAGCGGTCTGGCAAGGGTCGGGTACCATAGTCGGGGGACCGACGCGATTCGATCCGGGGACCTCACTGGGCCAGGTGTGGACGACGGCTTGTCTGATGCAGCGCGCCGAGTTGCAGGTCGAGCGACTGGTGGACTTTTGCATCGACGAACTGCACTACCTGCCATGCAATCTTGCTCCGACGCCGTTCTTCGAATGTTTCCGCATGACTCGCGTCGGTCGCGCCGATTATAACTACCGCCGGCGCTCGTCCCGTGATACGCGCAGCCGTCTGATCTACATAGTCCAACGAGCGCGCCGCCGCTCGATCTCTTTCCACGAATTCGTCGCTTGGCAGACGACTAGCCTGCTCGAGAACCAAGAGCGCTTCCAAGTGCTGTGTAGGCGGCCCGCAAACGACCCAACAGCCGCCCGGCCTGCATTTCCAGCACCGCAAAACTACGTCCACCTCAACGGGCACGACTACGCGGCCGCGGGCGCGGCCGCGCCCGCGACCGATGTTGAGCAGAACGGGGACGCCGAGGCCTTGGCCGAGGCGGTCGAAAACGCCGAGACTGAGCTGCGCGAGCCGCGGGACGTGGACCGGTCCCCGCTACCGGGGCGCCGATTCCGGATAGGGATGAAACAACATCGGCCGGTTTCGTTCGTGCAGTGTCAACCGGTACGAACGGTGTTTGGTGCGAGTGGATCGCCACCAGTTTTACGAAGCGACCGGGAGGCGGAAGCGGTGGCGTTGAATTTGTTATCGGAGGACGCGCGTGCACAGGCGGCGGCGACGATGGCGTTATCGGATTTTGCGGAGTGTGATATTGCTTACGTTGAATTTGCGCGCATCGTGGGAATCTTTATCCGGCGGCCATTCGACATGGTTACATTGTCGACCCGTCACGCTATCTTAAAGGCGGCGGACGCACCAGAACATCCTTCTAATTTCGAGTCCTGGGCTGCCGGTTGTCTTTTGCAGTTTTGCGACACATCGTTGGACGATCTACGTATAGCTAGTTTCGACAAACTGGGCTTCAAATTCGCACGCAGGTGCGACGCACTCGAGTGTCTAAAGTCCAATTCCCTCCATCGCAACCTCTTCCTCCTACGATCCGGCGGTGATCTCGATCCTGTGGTGTTCCAAAAACGACTTCAGGGCAACCGCATGACTGCCGCCGAGTTCTTCAAAAGACAGACTCTGACCGCGAAGGAAAATCGACTGTACTACCAAGACCTCATGAATTCACCCAGGAAACCAGCCAGGACTCCCCGCAAAACGGCCAGCAAAGATCAACTGAAACCGGGGGACAAACGACAAATAAGCAATAAAGATAAAACTGTTGACACTAAAAGATTACGACGACGACCGAGGAAACTATTACCCAAAGACCTACCGAGGCTCGTGGCTAGTGGCGGAGTCATCAACGGAATGCCCGAAGTAAGAGCAAGCGAACGAACCTTCAAACAACGAGACTGGATAATGACCGACGACCAGGAACCACGTACCGACCAGGAACCACGTACCGACCAGGAACCACGTACCGACCAGGAACCACGTACCGACCAGGAACCACGTACCGACCCCCGAAGTCCAGATTCTGACCTCTCTCGGAGCTCCAACCTCTATCGAGGCTCCGACCCCACCGCCGAGTACCCGAGCGCTGAAGACACCACCACCGAGAGCCGGATCTTCAATCCTGCCGAAGAGGACACCTGCTCTGCAGAAGAGGAAGCGGATGGCTTTTTAGGCTCCGGTCTTGACCCTGTCTTGGACTCGATTTTGGATCCCATTCCGACAAAGGCCTGGCAGCAAGATGAAGATTCGCCGATGCCGATCGAGGAAGATTTATTCATGCCAAATAAGCAGCAGGCCCTGCAGACAAATCCGGCTGAAGGGGAGCATACTCTGACGAAACAGACAGAAGCGATGCTCGTAGACGATGCTTCGCCCGATGACCTTCTGCTTGAACATTCGATAGCGGAGAATTGCTGGTCTGACGAAGAAGCCTCAGGAAAGCCGTGGATGCTGTTAAACTCCCGGGTCGACCCAAACCTCAACTCAACGCTGGTGCAAGAAGACTTACCGTGGGGCGTCACTCCCCCCCAACCTGCGCCGCCAGAACCGATCCACCCGCTCTGGACCAACCTGGACATGGAGTCATGAACATGGAGTCATGAACGACCAATCGACGAGACAGCGGGCGACAAGGCTTCAGCTGCCAACCAGACAACCGACCGGCGTTGGGAGGGTTAAGTTCGCGCGAAATAAGTATGTTTCGCAACTGAATTTATCCCGTAAGAGCGCAGGGATGCGCCAGGAACAAGTGTAGTAGTCACTGTGGATTGACGCGAATTTTGTCTGTGGTGGGTTAGTTCTGTTCGCCACAGACATTAAAAAAAGTCACTAATTTTTGAAGGGTTGCGTGGTTAATTGATTGATTGCCTTAATAATACCTGGATCTCCGAGAGGGTCTGCAACAGCAGGTGAGACATTTGAAGGGGAGACAGACGATGCCGAAAACAATCGAGAGGATCTTGCAAACGAGCGACAGCAGGGCGAACAATACCAGGCCGACCACCGCCAAAATGGCCACCGACTCCCAGGTGTCCCGGTTCATGGCCCAGCGATAGAACCCTTTCACGTGACGACTGGCTGCATTCACTGCTTCATTGTCGCTGAGCGTGTTCACGTACTCGTCCACCTGCAACTTGAAGTTCCGGAAACTTTCGCGCGCTTGTTCCTCGTACAACGCAAACTTCTCCTCCGGCGCAACCGTGCTGCCCATCCCGCCCACCGTCATGTCCTCCTCCTCACCTAAAACCACGTGTGTGACCGCGGGGTACGTGACTTCCACAAAGTCAAAATCGATAACTTCCTGCAAACTCCGCGGTTCCTGCAGGCCTCGGAGACGCGTAGCAGCGTTCGCAACGGCGTACAATAATATCAGCGGCTTCATGGTGCACCAAAAACGTTTGCGGAAAACATGGCCGCTACCCCCCCAACGCACGCGGGCGAAGGGACCCACGTCGTACTGGTGGCTACTGCTATCAGAGTCGAATTAGCGGTAGGTAGAGTCGAGCCAACCGGCAGCTACTGCCGGCCAAGCGGCAGCCAAAACCGGCAAGCCATCGCCAAGCCACGCTAGGCGAGTAGTTCTTCGGGTCCTTCGTAGTCCGGGTCCCATTTGAATAGGTTGAATTCCCACTGTATGAGTTTATTGCCGGTCTTGCAGGGTGCCATGGTGAGGTTTTTCTTGTCGTCGGTGAACCCCAGACAGGTAAAGCGTTCGAGTAATGTTTCAGCCTCTTCGTTGTTGAGGGTTTCGTCCACGGCGGGTCGTTTGAAGTGTTTCAGCGTGTCGGCATCCTCGGCTGCGGCGATCCATTTGAACTGGGGGAGGGTGACCCATAGATCATCTACGCCTTTGGTTTCACAGTGGGTGAGTTTAAGGTCTTTGCCAGCGCAGATTGTTTCGCTCGCCATGTTGCGTATCTGGTGGTCGGATTTGATTTCGAACCAGCCCTGGGCGCCCTTCTCACCGTGGCAGCCATAGGAGCCTAGCGGCTTCCCACCAGATTTCTGTTGGAGCGAGTCGAGGCAGCGATTTTGAAAGCCGACATTGCGCACCTCACCGATCATACCGTAATCAGCGTAGTTGGTACCGTAGCGAGTGGGGTCAACATTTTGCAGGAACCAGTCGAAGCTGCGACAGTTGTGCTTAGCTTTCAGCGCACGCACCTTGTCGAAGGGGCCCAAGTCTTTATCGTCACCTTTGCCCATGAATTCACGTGCGATTTGCCAGTACGGTCCTAGCCAAGCGATGGCCGTGCGAGCGCGATTGCGCGAGATGTACTTGCCCGGTGACTTGTAGCCCACACCGCCGTGTCGGTAGATGTGGTAGGTCCAGCTGCAGGGCATGCACTCCACCCGACCCCCGCACATCCAGTAGCGGAATCCCATTTCTACGTTTTCGGCGCCCCACATTTTCATTTCTTCGTCGTAGCCTCCCAGGTCGTAGAACCAGTCACGGCGCACGGCAAAGAGGCCGCCAGCCATGGAAGGCGAGGCGACGGGGTCGGCATGCTTCGGAGGGTCGAAGTAGGGCCGCTCCTGCATCATCCACTTGAAGGAAAGGAAGCAACTGATCCCCGAGTCGCGGCGGTAGTCGAAGGTGACGGGATCCAGCGACATGATCTGCGGAAACACCACCGACTTCGGCGACTCCGCAAGCCGCTTCACCAACGGCTCCAGCCAACCCTGGCCGACTTCAATGTGCGAGTCCAGGACCACGAAAATGGGCGCCTTGGCAATTTTCGCCCCGCTCAACCGAGCCTGCACCAGTCCCCGTCTCTCCGGCAATCGGAGCACCTTGGTCTTAGGCAAAAGTGGCAGGTAGGCGTCTAAGTACCCACCCGGCGCTACATCGGTGACGTTGCTGTGGTCATCGACAAGTATAATTTCACGCAACAGAGGTGGGGGTGTGTTGTTGAGCACACTGTGCACCGAACGTAGCAGCGTTGATGTGTGCTCATTGTAAAACGTGATCACGATCGACACATCCTCCAAATCCTCAAGCGCGAACCGTTGTCGCCGGCACACGTCTTCCCGCAAATCCGGCACTTCACGGTCCAGCGGCAACGCATTACTTAGCCTCAAATAAAACCCGCCGTCCTTCAACTCCGCATCCCGCCCTGCCGGCGACTGGTCAATCGGCGGCGGCATTGTACCCGGCGTCCAGGAACGTGTACCGTTACTGTAGATACCAACCAATCCGTGCAACCGCGTACGGTTGTTATGCGGGAACACTGCCAAACTGTTGAAGTACTGCCGACTGTCATTTCGAAACTGGTCCAGGTACTTCTCACTCCCCACGTAAGGCCACGCCTTCTCCCGCATCAAATATGACCAAGTCAACTCATATTCCTCCTCCTTCGTGTACTCCGGTGTCTTGCTCGCCGGCGGCACCACAATCTGGTTCAACAAATGCATCCGCTGGGCGTCCAATTCAGAAATACGTCTCCGTAACCGAGACTCTTTATGCTTCGTGTTTAGCAAAAATTGACCTAACCGAGTCGACAACCTGGAAGGGGTAAGGGGGGGGGGGAGGGGGGGTCACCACCGCGGTAGCGGGCGTCTGACATAGTGGGAAGGGATCTCCGCGGGTCCAGCCTTACTGAAATTGCCGAACTTGTTCGGGAATTGTTCTTGCAACAACTTCCATTCTCTGTAGGCGTCGCCGATATCCTGTTCCAGGTCGAACGAATAGTCGTCACCTCCTCCCATTGACCGTTTGAAGGCGATTGGTCTTCGCATATGCTCTCTCTCCACAGACATTTGCACCAAAGCATTTTGAACTGTGAGCACAACCAGCACAGCCACAACGGCCCAACAAATCCAGCTCCGAGATGCTCGAGTCACAGCGTCCAGTACGATCAGCAAATGCTCCTGCAAAATAGGGAGGCCCGAAGTCTTCTGCATAATATACGCTCGAACCCGACCACTCAGCGTTCCGCCGCGTACACTCCGGCGGTGCATAGCGTCCAACTCATCCTCCGTTATCAACAAAGGAGTGTCTCCGACCTGGCGACGCTCTTGTGCCTGCTGCTCTCCTTCCGACATAGAAGCCGCGAGCAAGAAAATACGACGAAAAAAAGTTTGGGACTAGATCGTAGTAGATCAGCTCTGCACCCACACCGCAACACCAGCTGGCCACAAGCAAGCGGTCGCGGCCGTACCGACCCAACTGCGGCCGGCGAGAAGGTCGACATTCTCAGTTTTCCCTCAATATCTCGCTGGCTTGCGACTCACGTATGTTCGAGAAAACCCGGTTGGAAAGTGTGTGCGCACACACTTTCAGCGCACATTTCCGCATCCAGTGGTCCCAAAACAACGAAGGACTATCTCAATTAACCAAGAACATTTGCCCGACTATCAGTCCCGGAGCGTGGCCCCCGATTGATTAAATTAGCAGTTGGTTAAAAACTAGTTGGTCAACTGTTTGTACCAAAGCACTGTAATTTAATAAAGGTTAAAACATTAAAGGTTAAAGCTCAAGTTGTCCATTCAAAGGTCTGTACATTAATATGATTGAAAAAGATCTGAAGATTTAAAGTTGTTCTTTCTCGAGCATTTCTTCTGTGATGGAGGGTTGCAGTTTGTTGTTCATAGCCATCATTCTTCCGGCACACTTGAGTAGTCTGTTGCAGTCGAGTCTTCCAATGACGGCCTCAATGAAGACGAGGTCATCGGGGTTGCTGGTGGCGTGGCTAAGGGCTTGATCGAATTCGCCGTGGGTGGTTGCCTTGATGCCTTGTTTTCCGCCGAAGATTTTGGGGAGAGAGGCGTAGTCCCACATTTGTATGTCGTTGTAGATGTTGTCGGTAATGACTCGTTCGATAGTGTAGCCATCGTTGTTGATCAGGAGGATGACCGGGTTACAGTTGTACCTGATCATAGTTGAGACTTCCTGCGCAGTTAGCTGGAAGGATCCGTCTCCAACAGAGAGCACAACACGTCTACTGGGGTCGCCCTTTTCGCGGAGAGCAATGCACGCTCCGAGGCAAGAGCCTACGGTGTAGCCTATGGAGCCATAGAAGGTCTGACCAATGTACGTGCCTCCGTCTGGCAACATGGTCTCTGCGGCTGAGAACATAGAAGCGCCGGTCTCGGCTATTAGGATGCACTTCTCAGGCAGGATCTTGGCGAGCTTCTTAAAGATGTAGCGCATGTCCAACTTGGCTTCGTCGACCTTGGAGATCACGGAGTCGCGTCGGTTGGGGCATCCGTACTTCGCGCGGGGGTATTCGTACGCCGGGTCGGGGAACACGGGTACCATCTCGACCAGACGACGCAGGAACTCGCCAATGTAAACTTGGTTGTAGCTGTGGCTGGAGACGGACACGTTGTCGTAGTTGATGATGATGCGTGACTTCGGATTGAAATCCGAAGTGAACCCGCCAGTGTTAAAGTCGGTCAGCTTCTCACCGATGATCACCACACAATCGGAGTTGGCAATGGCTTCCCGTACCTCAGGCAAGGAGCGCTGGCCCATGTACAGTCCCATGAAGTTGGGATGTGTCTCGCTGATCAATCCTTTTGACAACAACATGGTTGCATAGGGGATGTGTGATTTGGTCGTCAGTTGCTGGAAGTAATCTTGAAGGCCACGACGAATGAGTTCGACACCAGGCACAAAGACGGGGTGTTTGGCCTTGCGCAGCCGCTCAACAACTTCCTCCAACGCCTCCTCAAGGACCGAAGGCTCTGAAGCCGGCTCGACAGGCGTCTTCCACTCGCCCACGTCGGTCGTGTCAATCTCCATGTCAGGCATGTCACTCGGGACCAGAATGTACACAGGACGCTTATATAAAAGACAGTTCGTCAAAACACGGTCAATGTCTCGCGCCGCAAACCGAGGATCATTCAACACACACTGATCCACGGTAATCGGCTCGTACATCTTGTAAGGCGTCATGTAATCACCCAGTGTGTGGTGCAACAGCGGCATCTCCTTAAAGTGCTTCCTCATTGGGCCACCCACAATCTTCACCACCGGTACCGACTCAGCAAAGGCACCGGCAATGCCATTCACAGCCGACAACTCACCAACGGCGTACGTAGTCGCGCAACAACCAAGACCCTTGACTCGCGCGTACCCATCAGCCGCATACGCACTGTTCAACTCGTTGCAACAACCCACGTAATTCAACTCGGAAGCCACGATGTAATTAAATAGACCCAAGTTGAAGTCACCAGGCACACCAAACACATCGTCACAACCAGCCTCCTTCAGTCTTTGGCACAAGAACTCACCAAGCTTAACCATTTTTCTGTACAAGAGTAACTTTAGAACCAAAATAACTTTAGAACCAAAGAGAAGATCAGCTCAGGAAGAAAGTACTACTTGAAGATGCAAGCTGTGATATTCATTCAACAAACCGAACTGCCCGCGAGACAGCCTGTCGCCAACCAAGCGCGACAGGACGCCGTCATGATGCCGTCAGGACGCCGTTAAACAGTACCGTCAAATTTTGTCAAGTCTAAAAAAACCAACATGTATCATTTGATCTAACACTCTGTCATCGACCGCTACACCTTACGCAGTCCGCTGCACCTTACGCCGTCCGTTTGTGTGGCAGACTATAGCGTTGCTGCCGGTCGGGTGTTCTAATTAATGTTTCGCTTGCTTGGCCCGGTCTCGGTTTGGACGCCGGTCCCGTTTTTTCTTGAGGGCGTTTATTCCAGGTAGGTCGACTTTTGGAACGCTGTCTAGTCCGAATGACATGGCGACCCCATCGAGTTTAAGATTGTTAACATCGAAGGTGTCTTTAAGGAAATGGGAATGGTATGCGAGGAGGTACTTCTGATAGGCGGTTCTTGCTTGTTGTTTTAGTTCTGGCGTTTGATTAATGAGAAGAAGTATTTGTCGTTGTATTTTATTAAGTGATTTGTATGTTGACTCCACTCGATTGGGGTGAATTTTTTCTTCCTTCAAGTAATGTAAGTACTGGAGCTCTTCGGGTAAGAGGAATAGCAACGATGAGCCTTGACCCAATAGACCGCGTGCCGTTCGGCCAACCCGATGTATATAATCGCGCACGTCATCTGGTGGGTCGAATTGAATGATATAATCGACATTCGGGAAGTCTAAACCTCTTGCAGCGATGTTGGTGCAAAACAAGACACCCTCTTCCGCAAGGCAAAACTGGTTGTAAGTTTCAATCCGCTTACTCTGCTTCTTCTGTCCATGCAACGAACTGATCTTGTTGAATCCTTCGAACAATCGGAATAGATCCTCGTGAAACTGACAAGACTGACAGGAAGAGAAGAATACCATTATCTTCAACATTCTATCACTACCTTTACCCTTAACGCCAGCTTGTTTACCAGCTTGTTTACCAGCTTGTTTACCACCGTTGTCCTCCTTATTGTTGTCCTCCTTATTGTTGTCCTCCTTATTGTTGTCCTCCTTATTGTTGTCCTCGTTATTGTTGTCGTCAAGAGCCGACTTCTTCTTCTTCACAACTACCTTACATTTTTCTTTCAGAACTTTATACAGCAATGAGAGTCTATCTGCACTGTTGCAGATAACGTAATACTGTTTCAGACCCGCTACCGTGGTGCTGGCATCCTGCACCTTTACTAGCACCGGGTTCTTTAAACTCATTCGCACCAAGTCGACAATCTTGGTCGTCTGAGTGGCTGAGAACAAAGCGGTTTGACGATCCTCCGGGAGCTTCGCAAGGATTTTGGTCAACTCCCGCTCGAAGCCGACGTCCAACATCCGGTCTGCCTCGTCCAGCACCAGCATGGCCAGGTTCTTGTACACAAACTCCTTCGTGTTCTCCAGGTGGTCCAGCAATCGCCCAGGCGTTGCGACCAACAAATTCACGCCCTTGGCCAGGCGCTTCGCCTCCTCCTTCCGGTTGCTGCCCCCCATGATCGCGCCAAAGGTGTGGGACACGTTTGCACCCACTGCCCGAACCACTTCAGAAATCTGCAATATCAACTCGCGAGTAGGACCCAAGATCAACACAACCGTCCCCATTGCGCTAGTCACCTTCAACCGCCACAGCAAGTCCAACGCCGGAACCACAAACGCCAACGTCTTGCCGCTACCCGTCTTCGCAGCACCCAAAACGTCCCGACCCTCCAGCAACTTCGGGATCGCGTAGGTCTGGATCTGCGTCATGTGAATGTATCCCAAGTCCTTCAGCTGGCTCTTCAATTTCTCAGATAAGACCGCATTATCTTCAAACTTGTCACAACTCAAAATGCCCTCCACTGCCATGCCCGCGTCGACCACGGATAATTAAATGCGACAGCCCGGGTAACTTGGGCGGCGGGCGATAGTCCGGGTAACCTTGGGGGGCGTTAGCTTGGAAGCGCTCAACGGGGGGGTCAGAGGGTGGGACCCCCCGAAGGCATCAGTGTGCCGCCAGGCAGTTTATGGAGATTTTATTCTCTCGCACGTGTGTGCGCGCGTGTGTGCGCGCGCAAGTTGAAATGCAAACCGCGGATTGGGTAGCCAGACAAAGCAAATGTGGGCGTCGGTCGTAAAAAACGTTGTGTTTATCTGTACCTGTGGAGTACAATCTGGTTTCTGCGCTTCCAGTCGGCGCGTCTGGACGGGCGGATCTTGGAGGTGCCGACTCCCTTGTGGAGCATGCCACGCGACTTGCGTCCGGAGGAGGTGACGCCGCGAGCTTCGCGGTGCTTCTGGTGGGCCTTGCAGATCCAGTTGATACGCGGGTCGTTCCGGATGGCGGTGTGGTTGGGGTCCACAAATATGACTTCGTAGTATTTGTACATACCGTCCTGGCCGACCCAGTAGGAGTTGAGACAGCGGAGGCCGCCGAGTGCGCGTCCTGCACGACGCTCTGCGCGCGCCTGCAGCGACTGCGTGGACTTTTGCTTGTGCACACCTTGGTGGACGGGCTTGCCGTACACAATGCCCTTTGCCACGCGCTTCTTCTTGTCGCCACGGCGAATGCGCACGCGGTAGACCACGTAGCCCTGCTTGGCCTTGTAGCCGAGGCGGTGGGCTTTCTCGGGACGTGAGGGGTGCGCGGCGCGGTGCAGCACCGGCAACTGGCGGTACTCCCAAGTACGAATGCGAATCAAGTAGCGAATCACATCCGACTGTTTCTTGCTCCACAAACTCTGCAGGTATTTGGCGGCGCCCATTTTACTTGTCTGAACTCGTCGCACAAATTTAGCTCCAAAAAAATTGCTGTTATGTCGTTCGCCAGCACTCGCCACAGTTTCGCGGACGGGCCAGCCCACGCCGCTGGAGTGAGCTTTGCGGAGGCCGTGCTTACGGGCATCCCCGCAGACGGCGGCCTCTACTATCCGGTTGCGGTCCCGCGCATTCCGGCACACACTCTCGCTCAGTGGGGACAGCTGTCTTACGCGGAACTCGCCTGCGAGGTCCTCTCGCTCTACGCCGTCCCCGACGGCTCTCTCACGACCGAGGAAATTCGCCAGTGCGTCGCCGAGGCCGGCACCGAATTCCGGCTTCCGGACTGGGCGCGGGTTGCGAAACTAAAGATGGAGAACCAGGCTGAAGCACCGATCCAGGCTGAAGCACCGAACCAGGATGAAGCACCGAACCAGGCTGAAGCACCGAACCAGGCTGGCGCTGGGTTGGATGGTTGCCATGTCTTGGAGTTGTTTCACGGTCCAACATTCAGTTTCAAGGATTACGCCATGTGCATTCTGGGTCGACTGCTGGACCTCTTATTGGAGAAGCAGGGCGGTAAGGCGGAGGGGACGGTGCTTGTGGCCACCAGCGGAGATACGGGTAGTGCGGCCATTGCGGGTTTTAGGAACCGGCGCCGGCTGAATTGCGTTGTACTGTTGCCGCACAATCGTGTGTCCGAGGTTCAGCGCCGCCAGATGACTACGGACCCTGCGGCCAACGTTCACTGCGTGCAGGTGGAGGGCACCTTCGACGATTGCCAGCGTCTGTTGAAGGAAAGTTTCGCTGATGAGATGTTCAAAAAGGCATACAAACTCCTTGCCGTTAACTCGGTCAATTTCGCAAGAATTTGCTGCCAAATAACCTACTACTTCTGGGCATGTTTTCAACTGAAATCACAACCCGTGGACGTCATTGTGCCCACTGGCAATTTCGGGAACATACTCGCCGCATTCTACGCAAAACGCATGGGCGCTCCCATCAACCAACTCATAATTGCGTCCAATGTGAACGATATATTGCCCCGATTCATGAGGTCCGGAACCTACCAACTGGCCCCCGTTATCCCCACATACTCCCCCTCCATCGATATACAAGTCTCCAGCAATTTCGAACGACTACTATTCGTACTCTCCCACGACGCTTCCAACGGTACTACCAACCACACTTCCAAAGGTACTACCAACCAAGGTACTACCAACCAAGGTACTACCAACCAAGGTACTACCAACCAAGGTACTACCAACCAAGGTACTTCTAAAGATATTTTTGCACACAACTTGGAGGCTCCAAGCCCAGAGACGGCAAATGCTAGGACGGAAATTGGCCAGCTCTATCAAGACCTGAAAGATAAAGGGCAATTCAGTGTTGACAACAGGCTGCTAGAGGCCATAAGACAGGAGTTCTCAGCCTATTCCGTCGACGAAGAAGAGTGTCTAGAGACCATTAAAACGACCTACCACAATTATAAGTACGTCGTAGATCCCCATACAGCCATTGCTATGGCCGCCGCCAAGAGATATCTAGCTGACCATGGGCCCGCTTCTCTTCTTGTCGTGTCCACAGCTCACCCAGCGAAATTTGCCGAGTCAGTCAAGCAAGTTATTCCAGATAAGGCTGTAGATGACCTGGTACCCGAGCAACTGGCTTGCCTACTGAATAAAACCGAGCGATTTCAGGTACTTTCACACGCTTATTATTCCAATCCCTTTGCTTCAGATAATAGACCCGAGTTTGGACGGGTTGAAAAAAGCCTTTGTCAAGATGGCTACCGCATGATATCCGCTATATGACCGCAGCCGAACGATACTTAATGACACCAGTAGTTCAACGCCAGTTATACGGTCATGCTAATTGTCGAATTTTGTTTCAAGCCGAGAGCGAAAATACTCGTATTTAATATTTCTGCGATTACGAACCAAGACGAACCGCCCGCCAGTCGAACCTGACCAGTTGAACCCCAAGTTTTGCGCGCAGAAGTTCCCTAAAGCACAATCCTTTCATCGTTTCGCCGGCGGGCTCCGTATATCGAACCGGACTAGTACTGATTTCAAACGGATTGCGGCAACGGCCATGCATATAGACATACCATGCCTCTGCCGACGGTCATTCTGCTCCGCTGCTAACGCCCATGGCTAAAATGAGATATATCAAATCGAACAGCTCGCTACATGTTTTCTTGCCCCCACAATAGCAGAATTCCTAGCTTGATGGATGCAACACACTCAATTTACCGTATGGTGCCGTATGACGTCTAGAAGCTCGAGAAATATCGTGGCGCACACGTGTTCGATATTCATTGTTCCGCTGCAAAGCAACATATTTGGATGATCTGAGGACCCTTCTTGCCAATCCAGAGCTCATACAACATGGTCGAAACGGTGCACCTGTCGAGCATTCTTGTGGCTTTCGATTACGACCAAGACGGGGTCATTTCAGTTGGGGATCTAAATACGCTGTTCGGCATGTTAGGAATTGATGCCACGGGAGATGACTGTGAGATGCTCCTCCAAACACTGCTGGATTTCACAAAGTGGCAGGGAGACGTCTCTGGGAGAAGCGGTTTGTCTGGTCTGTCAGTTGACGGTTTGGAGAGAGTCATGCGAGCAAGTGCTCATGTAAGTCCTTATTTTTAGCCTTACATTGAGGCTTGAAGTTAATATTATTCTGCTCAGACTGAAATAGACCTGCGAAGCAATCAGTGGGTACTTCATTTTCTGAAGGGTGGAGAAGAAGAAGCGAGCGCAGCGACAATTGGAAGAATAGCCAACACTTTATCAATACCTTTATCTGAGAAAGACTGTGTTGACACTATGCGAATGTGGGGCGCTTTGGTGAGCCATTTCAAATACAGCCGTGATAAATTCCGTACATTTGGGTACGTGCCTCAGCCGCCTCTGGAACTAATTCACAACCTGCCACTGCAAGAGCCAACAATTGACGATAAAGAGTTATTGCTCATTCTTAAGAACATAATGCCGTAATAACTCTGGGGCACTCATTGAAAGATGCCATTTTACGAACGCACTGACAACGAGGAGCTGAAAGGGAGGGAGGTCCGACAATGAGGTCTTGAGAGACCCGTCAAATCCGCTGCCGTTGCTCTGGCTGGTCCCAGACCCAGATTCGGCTCCCGTCAAATTCGGCCAGCAGTTTTCTTGAGGCTTGAGTTTTCTAGAAATTGAGCTTCTTGTGGCGGCAGACTATGGGTGGCTCAGGGTCAACACTAGATGGACATTGACGTCCCTGAAATCTGCTGGTTGGTTCCTCAACAAAGCCGCTTAACATTTTGGACGTGGACAGCTGCTTCCCCCCTCGCAGCCGAGCACTCCGCAGTCGCTCATTTTTACAAGAAGTCAGTCCTCAGCTCAACAAGGACGCTTGATTTCAGAACGGGTCCCGTAATTGGGCTCGGACGGGTGAGGAGTCACCGCCAAGGGCCCCAACCCCTCCCAGCGTAAAACCTGCAAAATGTAAATATAAAACCTGTCAACCTAGTTGGTAAGATATCTGCGACTGTCGACGTCTTGTCTCTAGTGACGCAGAGCTGAGTGCTCGCACGACAAAATGCCAGGGACTGCGTGGCCCAATGGATAGGGCATCGGTCTTCGGAACCGGGGGTTGCGGGTTCGAGTCCCGTCGCAGTTTTTTCGGGGAAAATGTTACCTCGTGAATGCGACAGGTCAGTGGGGTACGAGAATGTGTGCGCACACACTTTTTTAGACAACAACTAATCTTTGACAGCGCATCACTTCACATCAGGGGTGATATGTCCAGTTGGCGGGTAATGTGAAATAGCCTTATAGATACTGTGTGTGTACAAACACACACTTTTTGAGACCGGACTAGTAGCCCTTAA